TCCCAAAAAAAAGAAAAAAGGAAAACTAAAACTCATAGCAGTCACAGTAATTAAGAAAAGTTGGATTGATAGAGTGATTGATTCCTTCTCTTTCTTCCGCATTTACTTCACTTTCAGTGTTAAGATATCACTAGGGTAATTCTGTGTTATCTGTGGATTCTAGAAAATCTGAAAACACATGTTCTACGTACTGACTCATTCCTCTCTTACTGTTTGCATCTAAATCAGGTGTGTGCAAACAGGTCGATCTCATGACCGCTGATCACTTAAATTTCTCTAAGCTCATACCTTTTAAAGAGTGGTCTGTTTCTTTCCATACTGAATAGAAACCTCAATGCTCTGAACGCGTAACACTGGAAAATAAAAGGATATGGGATTCTTAAATGGTAGCTCGACAAATGAAAACATTTCCAGGATAACATTATCATGAACTAAACATTACAGTGGCTTTACTGTGAGTGAGTGGCTGGCCTACGTGGGAGCCAAAGCTTAGGACTGAAAATGAAATCCATCAATACCTGGGGTAAGTCTCATGCTTTAAGAAAGCATTTATGGTGTAGAACGCTATGACGCTGGCCTTGTTTCACTCAGGACTTGTCATTAATTCCTTTCTAGAAAGTACAAAATGAACAGAGACCAGAAATAAAATTCCTACTCTGAGAAAACCAAACATCCAAAGATTTTCAGGAGCTCAAGGTTTATTTTGTTTCTAGCCTGCTATGTATGCCTCGATATTTATATGGCTTCTATGAGAAAATAAACACTCGAAATGATGACATATAAAAATAGCCACAGGCACACTGGACTCAAACTTGACAAATTGGTCTCTTGAGTAAAGAGTCTTAAGCGTTCCCCAAATAGAACAATCTACAGTAACTCCCGAGAACACTCAGAAAGAGGCCTGTGAGACTTTACCAAAGAAAAATAAATGTCTAAATGTCTGACAGTGTGCAATGCCAAGAAAAAAACCAGAGAGCCCCCGGCCTGCAGTTGGGCCTGTATAATAGGCCACCACTGGGGTGATCGAGGTCTGCTGAACTCGAATGTGGAATCCTTCATAAAATTAGTGGTCTGAATACAGAAGGGTGACAAATAAACTTGCCCAGAGAAGCCAGGCAGACAACACAATGATGTTAAAGAGCCTGGTGGAGGGCAGTGGAGGCAGTGAGAAAGGAGAACACAAATGTTCCCCAAAAACCATTTCAATTTGAAGTTTTAAAAACCCTCTCCTGGCTTAACAAAATGCATCTGCACGATGGGTTTGATTTAATCTGCTGTCCAGCATCACGTCCACACGCCTGTGGTGCACCAAGGAAATTAAGTCCCGCTCCTGTCCGTTGTCACGGGTAGCTCTCTTCTGCCTGCCAGCCCACAGATACCACCAAGAATTCTCTGCTAGTCTTGACTGTCATTCTGGGTGGGAGCTCTTCAGTCAGAATGGAGGCAAACGTGGTGTCTTATGTCCTTTTCTAAATGGCATGGGGGTAATACGAGCTCCAAGTACTGCAAAGGCTTACTTTAAACCGGATTTTATCTTTCCGGTGCCTTCGGGGACACTGTCCCCTGACGCACACAGGACCCTGCAGTCACGTGCCCCCTTCTTACCTGCACGCGAGGCCTCATGCCCCTCCCCTGACCACGCACCCCAGCCCCACCCAGCAGCCTAAGCACACTCTAAGCTGCCAGGCCCTCGCACTTTGCACATGGTGTTCCCTCTGTGCAGAATGCCTTTCCACCCTGTAGCAGATGCCATGGCTGCCCCACTCATATCTCCTTATTGACTTAGCAAGTCTCTTCTCATCCACCAAGATCCATTTCACAGGCCTTCCTTTGTAAAGGTGAAGTGTTGCTGACTGTGGTCCATGCTTAAAGATGGAATATCGATTTCCTCTTACAATTTTCCGATATGTAAGCAAGTATTCCATATTTTGAAAAAATAGAACTTACTGATGAGCAAAGAAATACATAAATAAAATCACCTAATTCACCTCCCACCCCAGAGAAACTACTGTTAAGCCTTTTATATTGTTTTCACAGCATTTGTTTTCATGCCAGCCTCCCTCACCAGATAGTTTTCCCTCACGGTCAGTACAGAGACCAGTGCTAAAAATTACAGATTGTACTATTAAAGTTTCCCCAGATTTCAGTAACTTGATATTAAAGAACAATGGACATGCTTATTACCTGTAACAGATTAGTTTTTGCTGCATTCTTTTGTTTGTTTGGTAAAATTAACTTTGCTATTGTATATATACCATTTTCCTGGAAGAATAAAAGGGTCATGTTATCAGTGACAGTGACAATGCCATAAAGAAACACAAGCACAAAGAAGCAACTAAACAATCTCAAAAATTAATATTAGAGAAGAAATATTAGTATAATTTTGGAACTTTGTGTAAACTTATAGGGGAATATTAAATATGTCAATGTAGCACCAAACACTGGAGCCACAATCTTAAAATTTCAGCTGTCTTTAAAGTCATAAATAATAAAGCATGTCAATTTAAAGTAATTTAAATACTTCATTTTTTAATGTTTATTTATTTATTTTGAGAGAGAGAGGGATAGAGAGTGAGCAAGGGAGAGGCAGAGAAAAGGAGAGCATCCCAAGCAGGGTCCACACTGTTAGCATAGAGCCCAACACAGGGTTCAGTCCCATGAACCACGAGATCATGACCTGAGCCAAAACCAAGAGTTGGACGCTTAACCAACTGAGCCATCCAGGCTCCCCTTAAATATTTTAAAAACAAAGAATAGGGGATAAAAAGGCACACAGTAAAGGGATACAAATATCTTTATACTTTGCATTTTAAATATCTGATTATGAAATACAATTTCTCCCTTTATAGTTTGGTAGTTAAACAATACACATAGATAAATCATTGTAGAAAAGAAAATGGAAAAAATAAAAGAAACAAGAGTAATAGATTTAAAAAATGAAGGTTATGCATGAAAAGCCTAAAGTATAGAAAGTGATCCTTCTATACTCTAATGCAAATATACACATGGCAGAATGAACAAAAAGTGCTAACTTACTGCTACCTTTCGATTATCTATTAAATATTTAATTTACTGAACTCTGTTATATGGGGGCACTTACATTATAACTGTGAAGAGCTTTACCTGCCTTAATGCATTTGGTCTTTATAGCTATTCTGTGAATTTGTCTATAATTTCCCTGCTTTATATATGACAAAACCAACTATTAGAGAGGCTGAGTCATTTTTTTCCAGTGGCCAAGCCACCAGGTAACGATATTAGGAACTGAACCTCAATGTGACCAAGTCCATATGCCCTGCTCCCCCGCGGCCTCCTGGTTTGCTGAGTTTCCCCTCGGGACTCTGAGCATCGGTGATCTGATCTCTTACTACCTCTCATGTATTTTGAAGATGAAGTCAGGTAGTGTATACTACTGTATATGTAGTGGACTGATTAATGAATCAAGCTTTGTGAAACTGGTTTCTGGGCAATAAACATTTTGTTGGCGTGTGTTTCAGTCACCTCTAGCTGAACAACCTGACGTACTCTTAGTTCAAGTGACCACCATCCTCAACTCATAGCATCCTATATACCCAGAATTAAAGCGGTTTAAAATAGCTTTTATTTTTTTTTATTTTTTTTTTTAACGTTTATTTATTTTTGAGACAGAGAGAGACAGAGCATGAACGGGGGAGGGTCAGAGAGAGGGAGACACAGAAACCGAAACAGGCTCCAGGCTCTGAGCTGTCAGCACAGAGCCTGACTCGGGGCTGGAACTCACGGACCGTGAGATCATGACCTGAGCTGAAGTCGGACGCTTAACCGACTGAGCCACCTGGGCGCCCCTAAAATAGCTTTAAAAAAAAAGATAAAGAAAATGAAAAAGATCGCACACAATGTAGGGAATAAGCATGAGAGATGAAATACAGAGCAGTTCTTTCAAACCCAAGTGAGTTAAAGGAGGAAGGATAAGAATATAAAGTGGAATTTTTGGGGCGCCTGGCTGGCTCCGTCGGCGGAGCGTGGGCCTTGATCTCAGGGTTGTGAGTTTGAGCCCCACGATGGGTGTGGAGATGACTCAAAAACAAAATCTTAAAAAAGAAATAGCAAATAAAAAATTAAAAGGAATAAAAAATGGAGTTCTAGAACTTAAATAAGACATATCAAAATACTTGAAAGCCACAGCATGGGATCCCAAAAGCTATGTTCTGGGGATACAGAGTTTGCCCTGAGGTGTGGTCCGCGAGTGGTGCCGGGTGGGGCCTGCAGCCGTACCCTGGAGAGCAGCGTTCTCACCTGGACCACCTGATGGGCGTTGGTGTCGTTCAGCACCAGCTCGGTGAGGGCGGCACAGCAGGCTGGAAGGAAAACCACCAAATGATCGCGTCCGTCCTCACTGGCTGCACCGCACACTGTTACTTCGATATTCTACCGCCGCGGGGAATTCTGTTAGCGGAGTCACTCCTCAGAAAACAGTACCTTTCCCTCAGGCACGGCCCTGGGGGAAGGGCAGCTGACTTTCAGGGGTGCCTAACTCTGCTCTCCATGTAATTCATGTGCATGTACACGCCACAGCCGCCTTTTACTGAGCACTTACTGTGTACCAGGAGGCGGCTCCATTATGATCCCCAGTGCCCAGCGTGTGCCTGGCACATAGCAGGTGCTCAATAAATACCTCTGCAATGGTTGACTAAATGAGAACTTTAAATACATTATCCAAATTAACCCTTATAATCCGAGTATGTACTATGATTACCGTTTTGATTGATGAGAAAACAGAGGCTCACAAAGATTGACAGACCAGGCCACAGAACTCGGTAAGTGCCAGGGGCCAGATGTCCAAGTGCGGTGTGTCAGATGTTAAATCCCACACCGTGAGCACTACCCCTCCCGCCTCCTTACAGCCACCATGGCAGCCTTCCAAGACGTTATGTACTGAACTGCTTCTTGTCTACCAAAAATATGCTGACCCTACAGCACCATTTATGCGACCCTCGTGCTAGCCCTGCACTGGGCGACAGGCATTCTGTATATCCTCGTATCATTCTACGATAACCCTCTAACACTGATATCATGGTGACCACCACTCTTTCACATGAGCAAAACTGAAGTCTGCAGAGGTGAAGGCACTTGTCCAAGGCCACGTGGCCATCGAAGTGGGTCGAGCAAAAACTCAGACCCTACTTCTAAGCACTTATGTTTTTAACTTTAAAATTTTTTCCCTTTTTTTGGAGTATAAAACAAGCTGTATGAAGTAGCTATATCTTAAGTGTACAGTCTGGTGAGATACTGCATATCTATGTGCCTTGTAACTACTGCCGTTATGATGAATAAATAGGATAGGATACTTCCAGCTCCCAAGGGCCCCCCGTGCCCCTTCCCAGGTAATAATCTGCCTACCACCAAACATGGGGATAACTGCCCCTCTGACTTCCAGCACCATGGATCTCATCCACTTTTTGAGAGAGGCCTAGAAATCCCAGGAACTCTGATGTCAGCTCGATTACATTTCCTGGGGAGACTTCAAACAGGAAACCCCCAGCAAGTGCCCTCATACTGAGATGGAGGCCTTCAGAATAAGCAGAAACGGCAATTCGAGGAGCAGATCCTATTTCCCTGACTTCATATGCCTGTGAAGAAACTTCCCCAGTCCTCAGGAGGAAATACTAGGGAGCATAGAACACCTGCCTTTCTCCTACGCCCTCTCGTCCTCCCCATGACACATCTGTTCTCCTCTTGGGACCTGCCTGCCCGCCTGCTGACCCACCAGTGCCTCTCTGCTCCCCTCCTTAGCCACCCCAAGGCACCCAGCTTGATCAGCAGCACCGAAGCCCCACTTGTCACAAAGGCCAGGTGCCCTCGTGTGAACCTTGTTCGGGGCTGTGCCAAACTGCCAAAAGTGTGCGCATACATTCTTGCTTCTGCTTTTGTGTGGCGAGAGAGGCTCTGTCCTCTCCTTAGGAGCTCACGTGGAATAAGGAAGGCATTCCCTTGCCCCCAGGGAACGACTATGTGCATTGTACAGTCTCCCTTAAGGAGGGCGCTCTGAGATCTAGAAAGTATAGGAACCAGGATTCTGGCCACATAGCAAGCTGAATTCTTTACTCCAGCTTTACCGATAATGAAGCTAATATTCTGCTCTCTTTATAACTGACTTCTATGCTGACTTCTCAATGTGTTCAGAATGTGGAAGGGAGAGAAAAGTTTGTGGCATCACTAACCTGCAAGCCCAACACAAGTACCAGGAAGTTTCAGACTTCTACATGGATTGTGCCTAATTAATATTATCACACTAATTTTATAACAGAATAATAAAACAATATGCTAACCAGCATCAAGTAGTATAAGATAATAGTATTATATAAGTACCTGCTTGAAGAGAAAAAGTATTTTCTTGTATTTCCCGAGGGCTTAGGTCTTCTGACAAATGAAGCTGCTGGATCCTGCCTGCCGCATTTGCACTCGACAGGCTGCCGATGGAAGAACGATCAGAAACAAAATTTCTGTCTCTGAAAACGAAAAGTTAATGCACAATTTATCAATTTTCCTTCATGGTCAGTGCTTTGTGGGTCCTGTTTAAGAAATGTTTGCCTCTCCCAGGTAGTGAAGTTTTCTCCTGTGTTATCTTTATTGTTTCACCTTCTAATCTACCTAGAATGGATTTCTGAGTGTGGTGTGAGGTAAGGGTTCTTTTCTCTTCCTTCCTTCCCCTTTTTCTTTCTTCATTTCCTTCCTTCCTTCCCTCCCTCCTCTCCTTCCTTCCCTCCCTCCTTCCTTCCTTCCTCCTCCCTCCCCTCCCTCCTCCTTCCCTCCCTCCCTCCTTCCTTCCTCCCTCCTTCCTTCCTCCCTCCTTCCTTCCTTCCTTCCTCCTTCCTTCCTTCCTCCATTCCTTCCTTCCCTCCCTCCCTCCTTCTCCCCCTTCCTTCCATCCTTCCTTTCCTCCTCCCCTAATGGTTACTGAACTGACTCAGCACTATTCATTGAAAAGACTGTCATTTCCCCACTGCTCCACATGTCCACCTTTGTTTTTCAACTCTATTCTGCTGCTATCAATACACCTGACTACATTTCAGTCTTCATCATTCTGAGTTTTCTTTTTCCAAGAAATTCCAATCTTATTTTGGTAATGGTCTCTTCTATTACATCTTTGAATTTTTTTTTATTCCTTCTGCTTTATTCTTTAACCCAGGATATCAAGTATCCACAAGTTCAAAACTCATCTTCTGCAAGCCATATCCTTCTTTCTCTAATGGTTCTCATTCCTTTGACTTTTTCCTCCACATTATGTGCAATTTTTTTCAAGCTTGCCCTTCCTTGTACTAATTCCAGTTTCTGTCTGGTACTCTGATGAACATCTCAGTTCTGTGGATTATTCAGTCCTTGCCTTTTCCCTAGCTCTGCAATCTCTCTCCTCCCCTTTCTGTTGTCCTAGCATCTCATCTTTAATCTCGGGTCATAAATGTCATGTTCCGTTTAACATCTTTGATAAAATAAAGCTTTTGTTTTTCTGTTTCCTCAAGGTAACATCTTCTACAATAGATTCTTCATGTCTTTTATCTGTTTTGTTCTTTTTTGTTGTATGTGAATACCATATTTTTTTCATTTACTTATTTTTTACGGCAGCAGCTCAATCTGGATTTCTTTGTGCCTAAATCTAACAAACATAGAGTCTCCTTGGCTTCCCTCCTGTGTCATCAGAGCCCACTAGTGCCTTTCCTTCAACTAGCATTGAGAAGGTAATGGAGCTAAGGTGTATGGACAGTCACAACTGGTGACCTTACCTGTCAACAAAATTATGTTAAAACTCAAATTTTAGAGATCACTCCCCCTACTCGAGTATACAGCCTTTTAGGAACCACTCTTGAGTTTAGGATTGTAGGTGAATGGGCGTGACCAGGCTTTCTGGAAACTGCCTTGACAACAATCCCTGTTCATACTCAAGCCGGCAGACAATCTGGCAACCTCCACCCGCCGTACCCGCCCCAGGCAGCTCCGGGGCAGGCACAAGCTCTGAAAGGACAGTGTTTACCCAGCTGGGGCAATAAATTCTCCCAGAGCACTGAGACATATTTCACGTAGAATGAGTGTTGACATATGTCATTTTCCCAGGGAAGAGTTTTCTAACGTTGCACCATAGAAATGGACTGGCAAAATGACTCTCCACACATGCATGAACTCTTTTCTATTAAGGATGGTTACATCTTGAGCAAAAGAGGAAAACTGCTGCCTTGTATTAAACTGAATTCTAAGTGGTAAAAAAGGTAGGTTTTATCTTTGAAGTATTGCTTAACCAGGTAGAAATTCGCTGTATCATCAAGGAAAATAAGTGCTCTCTGAGAGGGTGGTCCATAGCTCTTGCACCAGGCGCACTGGTGAATCATAATGCCCACCACTACCATCCGCATTCTACACACACAAACAAAAAAATGAAAAACTTTTGCTAAACGTCCAAGGAGCTAGCTTATTATGCCACAGTACAAATGGGAGACTTATAATTTATACTATAAACTGAGATATTCCTATGATATTCGTAGAAGTGAGTACACTGTCAACAGTTTCTATTTTTTTTCCTTTGTTTTGGTAACGACAGAAATCATTAACAAAGCTATTGTTCACATCTCTATAGTCTGTTCTTATACTTGGAAACGTCCTCACAGAAAATGAAGTTGACAACATGGAGTTCCATAATATCCCTAGAGGTACAACAGGCACAAAGTCTAAATAATACTGATTTGATAATATCTGGTCGTATTAAGAATAAGTCATTCTGCTTTTATTAGAGTGAGCTTTATTTATGTACTGTGGATTACAAGTGTGATTCCTTTCAGGCAGACGTGCTCCTTTTCAACTTTGATTCTGTACCTATAAGGCTGAATTATGCCTTATGATAATTGTAGTTACTAGAACTTTCCCACCGACATACCAAAAGATATCCTTATGCATTACTTCAATATATCTAATACACACTTATTGCCACATACTTCAAGAAAATTTCAATTTGAAACTATTTTAACCAACCATTCCTTCTCTGCGCTCAAGTCTTGGGTGTCATTAGAATTCTACTTTTGAACGACAGATAAGGTGCTAGCCCACCTTCAGGCAAGAAAGATCAGAGAGGAAAGAAGGGCAACTGGACCAGGGTCAGCACATGCTAATCATTTGATAAATAATGTCTTCTCCCCTTTTAGCTAAGGGTTATTCCTCTATTCTCTCATTGCAGGTTTTGCTTTCTCTTTGTAGATGAATGACATATACGCAGATGCAGACATCTTAGGAAAATAGCAAATTCAAAGGAACATTACTGTATTTGTTGGGATTACAATACGCGTAGAGCACGTCAAGAAAAAGGGGGCAAGATAAATGTTTTCTTCAGGTTCTTGGGTCTCCATTCAATCTACACTTGCAGACTGATGGCCTTCTATATTCCTGGTACGGAACTGGAGGCTTGTGATTCAAAGATAAATATTTGAGGGCTCCCAAGAAGCTTAAAAGATGCATGCCCCTGATATTGAGCTCACGCACGTCTGTGACAAGGATAAATGACTGTCCACGACAGCAATGGCCAAGGAGCAGGAGGAAGTTAGCTGGTAATGTGCCAATGTACTAACTGTGTGCCCTTGGATGGCAGGCTCCCCGGCCTTCAGTGACCGGGGCAGAGTAGGCCAAAGGCCCCCTCTGACTCACCCTCGTAAAATATGAAGAAGCTGCTTGATGCCTCCCCAAATGCGAATTTCCACACTGGTCTCAGGGTCCTCACAAACCTGAACCAGAATCCAGACAACACTCCAGAGCAGCTTCAGGTGGTCCGAGTGGAGCAGGCTGAGGAGGACGGGTACCCCCTCATAGAGCTTCACCTGTTCCTTTACCTGGGGTTCAGCACAAAGTAGGCGCAGTAACTCTGCGGTTAATCTGAAAGGGGAGGGAGAGGAGGAGAATAAGAACCCCGGCATGGCGGGTTATTGACTTCACATTTAGACTAGAGCCATCATCACTGCATCCCTGTAACATTTTCCAAGTCACAGGTCAACATATGTTTTCTGTAAGGGGCTGGATTGCAGGCCAGTGTTTTATGCTTTGCCAGCCACCCAACCGAGCCAATCTATGCAAAAGCAGCCACAGACAATACATAAAAACACAAGGGCATGGCTATGTTCCAATAAACCTTTATTTACAAAAACGGGCAGGGAGCCAAATTTAGCCTGCAGGTCAGAGTTCGCTGACCCGCTGTTCTAAGTCAGAGCCTCACTCTGAGCCCACTGGTCTGGCTAAAAACCTACTAACCAGCAAATAGATACCGTGCATCATACAATAGGACCGGCATTGTGCTCAAGACAAAAGAAATAAAATCTCCACCCATGTCTTCAGAAACTTACTAGGTGGTTACAAAAACAAGACATTAACACAAATGGCAAAAACAAAATGAGAAACAACAACAACAACCCTACAATGCAAGGAAAGTAAACGCAAAGTGCCCAGTGAGTATCTGGACAGTAAAATAAAGATAATGATAGCATGTGACAGTGGGTTCAGTTGAGCTCTGAAACATGATGATGATGCACATTTCATAGAGCCATCCTTAACCCTAAACACTCTCGCTGGACAGCGGTATCCTTTCCCGTGGCTTCAAACACCCGCTCTGTCCTGGCACCGTGAGCCGGGCCCAGGCATCACTCTCAACCTCCAGAAGTTCTAGCCACATGGCAGTCCACCATGTGTGTCACCCCACTGGGTCTCAGCTCAAAGTCATTATCCTCCTCTTCACGTTGGCTCTTCCTCTTATGTGCCCAGTGTTGATTCATGAAACTACAGCCTTTTCAATTTCCCAAATCAGAAGACGGAATCATCCAAGACGCTTGCTTCTCCTTTCCCAATCTGCCCCTGCCTATCAAGAGCCTTCAGGGCCCCCTATTTCCTGGGCAACTGCCGAGATTAATTCTCTTACAAGTCATGTAGCTGGCTAACCCCGCCGCTCCTCCCATTCTTGCGATCCTTGATTGTGTCCAAGACATAAGCCCCTCTGTCACTCGCCTCTCCAATCTTCTCATGCCCACATGACTCTACAGTTCCTTTCCCCTGAGCCAATTTCTCACAGCTCCAATCCCTCCCAAACTTTTGTGCTCTGACATTCTGAACGTATGTTTTTCGGCAAATAGTATTCCTCATCTCCTCGAACTTTCCACACCAAATGTTCCCTCCTTGTTCTAAGTGGAGCTCATTGTGTGGCTACATTCCCCACGTCACACACCCTACACACAGCCACCAGAGTAATCTTCCCCCAAAATGAATCTGATCATGCTTAAAATCTTCCTGGGAGTCCCCATAATGTTCACAGATAAAAACCACACTCTTATTCGGCACAAAGAGCCCACGGTGGCCTGGCTAAAGGCATCTTGCTGCTTCCTCTATAAAATATGGAAATTGTGCCGATCAAATGAGTTAACACACAAAAGCACTTAGAGCAGGGCCTGGCATATAGAAAGCTGGATAAAAATTAGCTATATTTTTAACTCAAGATTAACTGTCTAGTTTTCTGGCACTTTCCCTCTTGCACTCTGTTCCAGCTGTGCCCAACCATGCACTGCCTCGAACAAAGACCATTTCATGCCTCCATGTGGGAGCTCATTCTGTTTTCACTTGTTCTCTCCCTTTGCCTAATAACTCCGTCTTCCTTCCGGAAACTTGGCATGACCCCTGGCTCTGGCTGGGAGCTTCTCTTCTCTGTTCCCACGGTGTCCTGTGAACCCATCAACCACACCACTTACAGCACAATGGTGAAACCACTGACCTGCATGCCCGTCCTCTCTCCCACACTATACACTCTATCCTATTCATCTCTGGCATTCTAACATCTGGGCAGAGGCTGTTTCCTAGCAATGGGCTCAGGTAAGCAACTCTGTAAGTATAGTTTGGAAAAGAGGGTGAAACTGAGAAGAAAGATTCAAGGGGGTTTACTATGGTTACGTGTCAGGACTTCATTATTTGATGTCTGTTACCTGCTTTACTTCTTGAGAAAATTATGACTTACTTAACTAAGTATCAAATAATGTAGGTTGCAACTCCATTTAAAAACTACCCAATAACTATCTGGATACAGTAATTCTTCAGAGCAATATGTAAGTTCAAGTGAAAATGAATGCATTTTCGGTTCTGTTTAGAGTTATAATAACAGGTGGTCATGAAACAAGTCAGTAGCTATCTTAATGTATTTTACTTGACTTAAGCAAAATAGATTTTAGCGATCTAATAATTTATTCAACATATAATCTGAAATTACTAAAAATAGAGCCACCTCAGAGTTTCTTTCCTTAAAGGCACAGGATGTAAAAAAAAAAATTCAATAAACAAAAATATTAAGGATGTAATCGTAAGACTTATATAATTTGATTCTTTGCCCAGATCCAGAAGTGGTGCAAAACCAAAGATAAATCAATACACCCTCTCTGTTCTAGTTTATTTATAAAAACTTTAAGAGAAAATAAATGTCAAGGTGACTCATAACTTCAGTTAACAATGTAAATAACAGGACATCATAAAAATGATTATAATAATTTTCATCAACTATGGTATTGTCGTTTCCCTATTAGCAATCCTACCTTTTGGAAAGCAAGTCATATTCATGTAAAATCATCAGCAGATTTTCTACAATGTTGAGTTCACTTATCTTCTCCCTACATTCTGGACTACAAATTAAAAACTATTAGTAATTACTAAAGACATACTTTACCATATCCATTTATCTAATACTCCAGTTCTCATATTATCTCAGGAGGAGAAACAAAAAGCAATATAGCTCCATGGGCTAGGGCTACATCAAATTCCCACATTCAATAAATGTCATATGTCATAAATTCAAATTTGTTTAATGACAGTGTGATGATAACATAATTCCCTTTCTCCAAAAAGAATCATATGCTGTTCATAAAAAAGTAATAATAGGCATTATTCACAGTAGCCAAGATATAAAAATGACCTATACAGGTGTGTGTGTGTGTGTGTGTGTGTGTGTGTGTGTGTGTTTGTGAGTATGTAACGTATATAATTGAATATTATTGTCTGTCTATAAAAAGGAACAAAATTCTGCCATTTGTGACAACATGGATAAACCTGGAAGGAATTATGCTAAGTAAAGTAAGCCAGACAGAGAAAGGTAACTACTATATGATATCAGTGATACATGGAATATAAAATAAAAATTAAAGACCTGATGACACAGAAACAGAGATTGAAATGGTGAATAGTTGCCAGATGCAACTAGCTAGAAGGAGGGGGAAATACAGGTTAAAGGATACAAACTTACAGTAATGAAAAGAATGAATACTGAAGATCTAATGTAGAGCATGGACACTGTAGTTAATAGTGTGATATTGTACACTTGACAGCTGATGAGAGCAGATTTCAAGTGTAATTACTACACACACACACACACACAGAGTTAAGGAGGTGGTGTGATGAGTGTATTAATTGTCGTGAGTGTGATAATCATTCCATATATATAAGGTATATCAAATCATCATGTTGTGCACTTTAAACGTATGTAATGAGAGTAGTCAATTATTCCTTATAAAGTTTAAAAAAATAAAAAGAAAAAAGCATTGATCCACTTATTGGCATAAAAATATATTTAAAGCACTTTTCCTTAAACTGATCATGATATCCATAAAGGGAACATGCTACCCAGAATTGTATTAAGGGTAAAAATGTTTGAAAATGTTTTAGATGTTAAAATAAATACATAGGAGAGAATGTTTTTTTAAGGTTGGGGAGATTTAGTTGTCAAAGAAAAATTGTGGTAATTTTGAAAGTGGAAGTTATCTGAGGGTTGGATAAAAGACTAGGTAAGTATTTCCGGCTAGGAAAAAATGAAAAAAAAAATTTAAACTGGGATTTACGTTTCCATCTTAAGTTTTAAAATGATACTTTTTTGTCCAGGATCCTCTTCTATATATTAATGCTATTCCATGCTTATTTTTCACAAACTATAACTAAGTAGGTAAGCAACTAGAGAAACTGATCTATTTTCCGTCTCTCCCACCTAAACTGCTACAGTAGTGAAACTGAAAAGTACAGTAAAATACACTTACCTTTCAGCTAAACTAGCCAGAGCCAGAAGGGCACCCAGTAAAACATTAGTATCTCGGGCACCAAGTAAATTTACTAATGTCTGAAAAATGAAGTAAAAGAAAGTTTCATTGCGTAAGTGCTACAAGCTTCTTGGGTGGTATAATGTTTCTTTCAAAGATCATTGAGCTTAACCTCAAGAGGAGTTTTATTAAACATTCACCACACCCAGCTCTTCCAGGGGGTAGGGCCCCTTCCTGCTTTGAGACTTAAGACAAGTTCCTTGTAGCCATTCCTTACCCAGGGCAGGAAGCCAAAGCCACCAAGCTACACGACCAAAGGTCTCACTCTTCCCTCTATTTTCATGTGCCCAGGAGGTCTGCTCTGCCTCCTCTGATCTCTCCCCAAGGAGAAGTAGAGAGAGTAATAATAGAAACCACAATACTGGTAGCAACCAGTCATCGGGAGCTCATTCTGAACCAGGCTTTACGGTAGCCTCTTTCCAAACTGAGGAACTATTTTCCACCAAAGTATTGAAAACTCTCTTTCCCACCCCCCTCCCCAAACTAAGTAAGGTATATCAACATTAGCAAGCACTCCATTTGCCTCTGAGATTACTAACTGATGTTGAAAGGGCATGAATCGATGCTTCCAGGCATCATCCTAAGTAACATGACTTAGCTGCAAGTCTGTACATTATCAGTTGCCTCTTCTGAGGTCCCCTTCCCCAGAGACTGTTAGAACTCAGAGTCCCCCAAAAGTACACCCCCAAACACACTGCAGGCCAGAGCTGTAAGCCGTGCAACAACTGATGAGGAGATTTGGGTTTCTTTTATGCCAATTTTTCCCCTTTATGATTTCATTCGTGTTTTTATGAAGCTATCATTATCTTCATTTCTCTCATCCCCTCCTCTTATTCTTCTCTCACTTTTTTCTCTATCTTCTAATAGAATGTTCCCCAAACTTCAGTCCCTGACATATCCCTTCCACAATTTTTGCCATATCCTCCTTAATGCTATTCAAAATGTTCCTTAAATTCTCAGTGATAGTATCGGTGAAATATATGTGGCTATCAAAATGAAAAGTGTTGACTTGTATATCACCCAGAATCATCTCCTACACAATGGGCAGCATGTGTAAACACATTTTAGGCAACCTTGCTCTGGTACATGCTAGGAAGTAACCTCCTGGGATATGACAACTCAACAGAGTATTAGAACTTGGCTGTAGGCAGCTCCCACCTAAACAGCTTTACTATAAATATAAATTTAGTCTGTTTTAATTAAACCTGCATTCATTTATCTTGAAATGCATATTCGATCCAGATGCCTGTAATACTATGCCATCTGATTATAAAGTTGAACCATATGAAATTGGCATATAGACATGACAATTTCATACGGTTCAAACAAATATAACCCCATGTGCCATATGGAATGTATTTAGATGTGTACATATGCTTTATTTGTTCACTTGTTAACACACACCTAGGGTAAGTTTA